TAACGCCATAGTCCTGAGAAAACACAATTCTCTCATCACGCTCCGTATCAAGGGCTGCACATGAACTAGAAATTGAAGTTGGCTGTGGTACAACAAGCTGATAGGTGTTGAAGGGCCAGGGTACAGGGAACTAGAGCAAATGACAGGGACCAGCAGAGAAGGGAGGAAAACCAGGTGGGAGAGGAAGTCCCTCCTTGCCTTCTAAGCAGTGATACTCTCCCCCTGGCAAGCGCACACACACACACACACACACACACACACACACACACACACACACACACACACACACACACACACACACACACACACACACACACACCATGCACACGCGACATGCACACGCGACATGCAACACACACAAATACACAAACATCATGCACGCACACACAATATACACACCATGCGCACACACATACACACGTGCACATGCTCGTGTACAAATACATGCATGCACATCACAGGCACACATATATACACACAGGCACATTCATACACATGCTTGTAACCACTACCGCCATCTTGCCTCTTAGGCATCCTCATCTTGTAAAGCCACCTGACTCACATGGATTCTTTCCTTACCCTCTGCTTACAGACAGCCTCTTCTCCCATCCTGTAGTCTCAGGGCAGAGACATCAGATCCGTGGGAAACCCTCACCAAGGCCTGAGTGGCTCCGGCCACCAGGCAGAGGCCCAGCGTCTGCCAGTGACGGGTAGAGAACAGAGCTGGCGCTCTCCTTTGGCAGGGCCATAAAGAAAAAGCCAGACACTTGAGGCTCATATCCTTCTACAGCAAAACTGAATCGGGACCAGAGCCACCTTGCGCAGTGGCCAGTTTGGGGGTTACAGCTGCCCTTGCATTCCGTTCTCTGCCCTCCAGGGACAACAGCCAACTCAGCCCTAGGATAACAGGCAGAAAGAGCAAATTAAGTCAGATCCTGGCTGCAGCAAAGGTCATAAAAACAGGTAACACTGCAGGGGAAAACACGCAACAGTTACCAAAAAGCCGGAGGACCCAGTAACCATCTGGGATTTTGCCAGAACCACCAGAACTAAGGGGCCCTACGGCTGGTGGCCCACTGAGGCTCAATTGGAACAGTGTCCCCATGACCCACTTTATTCCAGCCAGATTTTCTTGCTGGGTCCAGTTCACATGCCAACAGCGTGTATGGGCCACGTGGCCTCAACCCTAACATACGCGAGGCTCCCTTTTGATCCTAAAATGACATTTAGACATAACCCACTTACAGACCATTTCTGAAAAGCAATTTAATGCCCAAACGGAAATATAAAGGAGAAATAAGAAGAAAGCAGTGTTTTAATACATGTATTTCAATCCGTGAGGCTCGAGCACAGCGGCCCGAGGAACCCCAACGAAGGCGTCAGAGTTCCAAGTTTGTACTGGAGAGAAGGGAGAGGATCAGAAGCCGTTTCAAACAAGACACACCAGAAAATCAAAGAACAGAGGCGAACACCAAATAAAAATCCGCACTGCATTAAGTAATAACCGAGGAGACCTTGTAGAAGTAATTTCTCCGTGAGCGTCAGCGGGGTACCTGCCAGCCATGCAACACGCGGAACGCCACTCCACCGCGCTGACGTCCCCGAGCACTGCTGGATGCCCCGCTTTCCTGGGCTCCGTCCACCAATGATGACAACAGCCGAAAACCGTCCCCTCCATTTGTACGAGGCCCCAGGGGAATGGCCTCAGACCACCCCTCCCCCACCTGAGCCTCCCCCAACCAGGCCTCTTATGTCCACATGCTTCTACCCTATGGGGGACGAGGGCTGCAGGCCAGCAGGAGCTTGGGGATCAAGAGGGTATGGACTGGCCCTCGTGGGGTGTAGCACTCCCCTTCCGGGTGGGGGCAGGCATTGTAAGGTGACAGGGACATCCGGTTACTCACAATCAGGTACACGGTGGCTCACGCAGCCCCCGAACCACCCCTCCAAAGCCAACCGGGCATTCAGGGTGCAGGGTGTCCCCTCCACCCACCCAGCCTCACTGCACCAGGTGGGAGTTCCTGCCTGGGACTGGGTACACAGGACATCCAGGTCACCTTCTACTCGGTGCGCAGGTTCTAAGGTCAGCACGTGATGTAAGAACCTGCATATATCCAAAATCACTCTCTAAAATTTACCCATGCACAGGCACCATGTTAGAGATTAGCATACAGACCCTTGGTCTATCCAACACAGCGGGTTTGTTCTCCAGTCTGGGAACAGATCTCTGTCTCTTTAATTGGGGCACACGTGTGGGGTGCTTACCCTGAGAGCCGCCATGCCGTGAGGAAGCCCACGCCGCATGGGGAGGCCACATGTAGGTGTTCCAGCCGAAAGCCGCCATTGACCACCAGGCATCTGGGTGAACCAGCCTTCAGATGATTTCAGCGCCCTTGCCCTTGAGCCACCCCAGCCTTTGATATTTCCAGGTGAGGCACCAGACGTCATGGAACAGAGATAAGCCATCCCACCATGGCTATGTCTGAATTCCTGACCCACAGAATGAGGAGTAAAATGGTGTACATTTTTGCCTAAGTGCACTATTTGGTGTGCATAAGAGGCAGCTAACTTCTGTCTATCTTTCAACATTTCAGAATCACTCAGCTCCACAAAAGGCCCAGACTAGCAGAGACACACCAGAACTGAGACTGACCGAGGGAAAAGTAAAATCAACCCCACGCTCAATCAGGGCTTTAGTTCACAGGCCAGAGGCAAAGCCCCACTGCTTAAGTTATTTCTCCTAAAGCAATGTGTGTAGATGAATTCTCGTAGGTTAGACACGTGATAGATTCCGCCAGACGGGCTCCAGAAGGACTTGTAGCTTGACAGAGGAGCTTAATTCTCTGGAAGGACACACCAGGGTTTGCATGCAATTGTCCAGAGGAGCCAACAGTGAGTCAACTCAGAGACTTCGGCCAATCTCCTGGGCAAATGTGAGTGGCGGGCTCTGGGGGCAGATGTGCGATGTCAGATGATGGTGCAGCCACAGCAGTACCTCTCTGGGTAATCCACCACGTACACTTTGTGGTCGGTGCCATAGATGTAGTAGACGTAAGTCTTTCCTTGGTACCAGTAACGAACTTCCGTGAGGGGGACCAGCTCAATGGTCTGGCGCTGAGGAAACAATTGGCCAAGAAAAACCTCAGGGTTCTGTTCAAGTCCCTAGCCTGCTCAAGAACCTTCAGTAGCTCCCTACTACCTGTGGAATGAAGTTCAGGCTCTGGACTTGGCATCTTGCCTCCAACCTGCCTCCTAGATGTATCTCTTACTATGCTCCTTCACATACCCTCCGCTCTGGCCCAAACCGACTTCTCATCTTTAACCACCACCTCATTCTAAGTTTCATGAAGCCGGGGGGCGGGGGTGGGGGGTGGGGTGTGGCGCACAGGCAATCCCCAGGGGAGTTGTAGGACGTATGGAAATCCACCAGCCGGACAGAACATCTTCCAGAAGCGGTAATTTTTAGATGGGGGCGTGGACAGAGTGGAGTGGAGAAAAGTGGAGGACAAAGCCATTTTAAACATTTTTCTATTAAAACAACCATGGAGATATCAGGGAATGTATTACGCAATTTGAATTAAATTTTAAGATAAAATGTTGACACCAAAGAAATTCCAAAGTTTGGGGGGCTGCTTCAGGCTATTTTCTCAGACGCTTCCCTCCCTGCACCAGGGTTTTGCAACAACCCTCCTTTGAGAAAAGCCTTTCTCAAGTTTTCCCCTCCTTTTACACATGGGGAAACTGAGGCCCATGGGATTTCAAGCTTGCAAGATCATCCAGGTCAAGCCCCACCTCCTGGCCGGACCCATTTGAGGCTCAAATCTCCTCCCTGGCATCCCTGTCTACTTGAGAGCCCAGGGCACTCACTCCCCGCTGCAGAGGGGTCCTACATCCCTCGTTCTCTGGCCCCTTCTCTGAGCACTTACTCAACAATCTTCCAAAATCACGGGGCAGTGAACAGAACGCCCTGCCGCCTTGGAGCTGACACCGACTCCTGCTGAGACACCCAGGTCATTGGCTTTGGCACTGATTTGTTACGGAAAACTACGGCTGTAACCCACAGAGCAAAGTTACTCCTCAGCCCCAGCAAAGCTTTCTCGGGCCGTACCGTGGGCCAGGCTCGGTGCCCAAACCCTAAGGTCTCGTGCACAAGCTGCTCCCCTGTCCCAGACTCAGATGTGCGGACCCCAACCCCAGAGGGAGGTGGTGTGCTTGGCCCAGGGTCAGAACCTCCTACTTGCAGGAAGATCCCCTCCTTGGGAAAAGAGCCCAAGCCCTCTCGTGGGAGATGATGGTCCTGAGGCCCCTGGGGAAAGTGGGGAACAGGCCGGGAGAGGATGTTGAGCAGAGGGCTCCCTACACTGGGAGGTGTGGGTTGGAGGGGTAGCAGAGGGATTGACACTGTAGCAGGAGGGGTGGGGGGCGGGGGGACTCAGGGTCAGGGCGTGCACTTCCCATGAAGCCGTCTGCGTGACCTCCCACTTCCTCTCTCTGGGCCTCCGTTTCCTCATCTGTGAAATGGGTACAAAAACTTCTATGTCATGGAGTTGTTGAGAAAACCAAATGAGACGGTGAGACTGAGTTTTCTCTGTGTGCCGGAGAGCGGCCTCCAAGGGAGATAACTACGGAAAGAAAAGGTAGACGATCCCTCTTGCCATGTTGGTACAGGAGACCCAACATGGGAACCACGGGGCAAGAGGGGAGGGGAGCCAACCTCTGCTCAGAAAGCCTGGGCCGCGGGTCAGACCACTCGTTTCCAAACTCTTCTACTATCCAACAGAGAGCAAAACCACAGCAGCCCCACCCCGCGTGCCTCCATTTTGGATTCTAAAGGTCTCCAGGTTGGAGACCACAGGTTGGCCAGGACATCAACTGCCATCCAGTGGTCATCTCGTAATCGGACGTATATCTGCTGGTACACCTTGATTGTGCCCCTGGGACGAGCAGATTCCAGGTCTGAGAGGAGGGGCTGGGGCCCCGCGTGTGACAGCTGTCCCCTCACTGGATTCTACTCGCTAACTTCCCAACCCTGAACAAAATATCAGCATGAATCTTTGTCTGTAGATCCTGGGCCAAAGGACAATTTAGGACAAAGAGTCACAGAAGTGGCCTCTTCTCCCTTTACGCTCCCTTTTAAAGAAACATGCACGTCTGCACGTCTGCCCCTGGTGCGCCCCTCCCTGCTCCCGGTCTGGTCCACAGACGGCTTGTATTGCCTGAGACGGGGCTGTGCCATCAGGGAAAGCCCAGGAGCCCCAGGGTCTAGACGGAGGCCTGCCGCCAACACGCAGTGTGACCTTGGGCAGTCACTGCCCCTCTGCCAAATGAAGGGTCCAAAACGGACTCAAAATTGTCAGCCTCAGCAGTAAAAACGTCCCAGGAGAAGCACGTGTGTCCGCAAGGTGCTGCAATCATGCCTCGTCCTCCGGCCAGTCCTACAGTAGTCCTACAGTACACAGCTCACTACTGGGCGGTCTTCACTGTAATGCCCACCAGACTGTACCAGGGCTGCAGGAGCAAGGCCCCTGAGAGACCGGGCTGGGGTCCTCCGTGGATGGGGCTGAAGAACAAACGTCAGCTCCAGGCGAACAGCCGCTGAGGTATGGTTGACACTCAAGAGTGCCACTACCCTCACCGCCCCCTTGTCTGCCCCTCTTCCTGTTCCGGCTCCCCCACCCCTTTACCTGTTTCCCCCGGGAGCCCTTCCTTAACAAACGTCTTGGGCTTCCCTGGTGGCACAGTGGTTAGGAAGCCGCCTGCCAATGCAGGGGACACAGGTTCGAGCGCTGGTCCAGGAAGATCCCACATACCGTGGAGCAACTAAGCTCTGAGCCTGTGCTCTAGAGCTCATGAGCCACAACTACTGAGCCCATATGCCACAACTACTGAAGCCTGCATACCTAGAGCCCATGCTCCACAACAAGAAGCCACCGCAATGAGAAGCCCGCGCACCGCAAAGACCCAACGCAGCCAAAAATAAAATAAATTGATAAAAAACAAAACAAACAAAAAATGACTTGCACACGGATCCTCATCTCAGAGCTGCTTCTGCGGAGCCCAACCTAAGGCAAGGCCCAACCGCGCCCATTTTACAGATGAGGACATCGAGGCCCATGAACAGAAGGACCAGGTGCCATGACTATGTGCCAGAGCTGGGAAGCAGGACATAACCTGGGAAGTGACTCGCCCCTGCAGTGTCTGCCAGGCGAAAAGGGCGCTGCCTCGTCTGGCTGATAGCCCTGCAAACTTACGCTGGCTTTCAGAGTCGCTTGTGTGCCTTGAGTGCGGCAGATAATAACATTTCCCTTGGAGTTGGGAAATCTGAGTTCTACTCCTGGGCTCTTCCGCTGAGAAGTTGTATGACCTTACCTAAATTACTTCCACTGTCTGGGCTTCCTCTGATTTATCGGCAAAGTCATGGGTTTGGACTAGACCAGGGGTAGCCGAGGAGGCCCACAGGCCAAAGCTGGCCCAGCAGCCCATACAGTGCTCTTAGGATTTTTTAAATTTTGCTTTCAATATTGAAAAACTGGAAGATTTCATGTAAAAATGTGGATTTCAGGAAGTCTGAAATCTCTGCCCCTGCGCTGCACAGAGCTGAGGGGAGGTGGAGCCCTTTGGATAAGGGGGCCTCCTACCCAGAGCGCACCCCCCCCCCCCGGCCAAACTTACGCTGGCTTTCAGAGTCGCTTGTGTGCCTTGAGTGCGGCAGATAATAACATTTCCCTTGGAGTTGGGAAATCTGAGTTCTACTCCTGGGCTCTTCCGCTGAGAAGTTGTATGACCTTACCTAAATTACTTCCACTGTCTGGGCTTCCTCTGATTTATCGGCAAAGTCATGGGTTTGGACTAGACCAGGGGTAGCCGAGGAGGCCCACAGGCCAAAGCTGGCCCAGCAGCCCATACAGTGCTCTTAGGATTTTTTAAATTTTGCTTTCAATATTGAAAAACTGGAAGATTTCATGTAAAAATGTGGATTTCAGGAAGTCTGAAATCTCTGCCCCTGCGCTGCACAGAGCTGAGGGGAGGTGGAGCCCTTTGGATAAGGGGGCCTCCTACCCAGAGCCCACCCCCCCCCCAGGCCTTTGAGTTTGCAGTGCCCCCGTTTCATCCTCTCTGAGGTGCATTCCAGCTCCAAGACGGTCATTATTAATTTTCAAGTAAATGCATCCTTTTCTCTCCTGCAAACAGGGTAAACGTGCAGAAAGAGAAGGGGAATAATCATTGCAAAGGGAACGGAAGGCACAGGGACTTTAACGGAAGGCACAGGGACTTTCTGAGCACCGGGTTCCACGCACTTAAAGCAAATGATCTCATCCCTACCAAGCCCTCTGAGGCGGTAGTAATACCTCTTTTTCACGGGTGAGAAACTGAACTTCAGGAAGGCGTTTGTAGCTGGCCCGGGACCACTCTGGGACGTGGAAGAGCCAGGATCTGCGCCCAGTTTGTAAGACTCGGACCCCCGACAGAGCCCTCACGGAGCTCAGGCGCTGAGCTTTCCCTTGCCAACCCCCCCATCTTCCATCCCCGTTTCCTTTACCCCCGTCCCCTACCGCACACGCCCCGCCCCCCGCGGCTCCTGGGGACGCGACGGGCACCACCGCCACCTAGTGGCCAGCAGGATAACAGCCGCACAGCAGCGCGGGCCGTCAGCCCTGCCTGGGGGCCTAGGATTTGGGGAGTGCCCCGGGGGGCCGGACGCTGGGTTCCAAACCTGCCTTGGACCCTAGATGTCGAGCTTTCCCTCCCCTTCCCTGAATACCAGGGGGGTGAGAATCGAAACCACACTGAGCCACATTCCTGCGTGAAACCCTGCAAGCTCCCTGTCGCTCGCAGGATATATCAATCCAAACTTCTCCCCGTGGCCTTATGTCTGACCAGCCCTGCTCTCTGACCTCCGGTCACTCTGGCCCCACGTCAGTCCCTAGTACCTCTGTGCTCCTCCGACTGGGGCTCCCCCCCTCCCCCCCTTCCTTCTGCCCTACCACTCTCAAGAAGGAACCTCCCCACAAAGGGAGGGGCCCGTTCCCTCCTTTACGTCCACGGGGACAGTGTCCTGGAGCCCCAGCAGACCCGGCACCTCACCTTCCACCAGCCCCGGTCCCCACCGCCCCCCGCCCAGCTCACCTGCTGCAGGACGCGGGCTCGGGAGGCCAGCGCAGCACTGTGCTCGGCGATACCCCGCTGGGAGGCCAGAGAGATCTCCCGCACGGGGAAGTCCACGATGGGGTACACCTGGGGGGAGACGCAGACCACCTGACCCGGAGCCTCAGCACCTGGAGCCTTGGAGGGCTGACGGGAGCACGAGGCCAGAGAGGGACGGGCCCGGGCCAGGGGCGAGCGGGATGGGTGGGGCTTGTTAAACCCAAGCGGACCAGTGATCATCCACCTCATAGCGTCGGGAACTCCAGCCAATAAACGAGGGCCGTAGACAGACTGCACGCCCACCTGGCGCGCCTTCCCTGCTGCCTAACTCAGGCTAGGGTTGGGCGCAGGGCTTCCTATTGGGGTGATGCCTGAAGTGAGCCTTTAGAAAGCCTAGTGATTGGGGCAAAGAAAGGAAGCTGGGGACTATTATGAAGCCATAAAGAAGGAATTCCTGCCATTTTCAACAACATGGATGGAAGAGGGCATTATGTTCCGTGAGATAAGTCAGAGAAAGATACACACCCTATGATCTCACTTACATGTGGAATTAAAACAAACACAAACTCCTAGATACAGAGAACAGATTGATGGTTTCCAGAGATGGGAACTGGAGGGGTGAGCAAAAGGGGTGAAAGGGGGTCAATTGGTACAAACTTCCAATTATGAGATAAATAAGTCTTGGGAGTGTGAGGTACAGAATGGTAACTACAGTTGATAATACTGGATTGGACATTTGAAAGTTGCTGAGAGTAGCTCAAAAAAATGTCTCATCACAAGAAAAATCATTTGAACTGTGTGGTGATGAACGTGAATTGGATTTATTGCGGCGATGATTTCACAGTAATATACAAATATCTAATCATGATACACACCTGAAACTAATAAGCCAATCTGAAACAGCTACATACTGTTAAAAAAAAAAAAAAAAAAAAAAAAAGTCCAGAGATGGGAACTGGAGGGGTGAGCAAAAGGGGTGAAAGGGGGTCAATTGGTACAAACTTCCAATTATGAGATAAATAAGTCTTGGGAGTGTGAGGTACAGAATGGTAACTACAGTTGATAATACTGGATTGGACATTTGAAAGTTGCTGAGAGTAGCTCAAAAAAATGTCTCATCACAAGAAAAATCATTTGAACTGTGTGGTGATGAACGTGAATTGGATTTATTGCGGCGATGATTTCACAGTAATATACAAATATCTAATCATGATACACACCTGAAACTAATAAGCCAATCTGAAACAGCTACATACTGTTAAAAAAAAAAAAAAAAAAAAGAAGGAAGGAAGGGTGGGGAGAAAAAAGGGAAGAAAACAAAACCAAAAAAAACTGTCTGAGGATGTCCCATAAAGGCCACATTCCCTTACCAGGCCGACAGCAGGGAGCCACAGACCTTTTCTGAAAAGGGCCAGAGTAAATATTTGAAGGCCATGGCGTCTCTGTCTCGACTACTCAACTCTGCCCTGGAAGCACGATAGCAGCCACAGACAATACATAAACAACTGGGCTGTGCTCCAATAAAACTTTATTTATAAAAGCAGGCCAAGGGCCGGAATTTGCCAACTGCTAGTGTACAAGACCCTCCCTGATCTGGCTGCTGGCACCTGTCATGTCTTAGCTCCTTGCTCCGCCCAGCTCGCTGCCCTCCAGCCCCCTGCCCTCTGCCGCTCCTCAGAGGCCTCTGTCGTGCTGCTTCCTCTGCTGGACACCCTGACTCCCATGCTGTCACACCATCCACTCCCCGACTGCACCGCTCTCCACCACCGACACCCTGCCCCTTCCTGTCTCTCTACCTCGCTTGTGTATTTCTCAATGGCTGACAGTGTGGTGAAAATGCTATTATTACCCTCTCCCTCACCGACTGTGAGATCGGAGGGCAGAGATTCTGTTTTATGGTATCCCCAGCGCCTAGAATGGTGCCTGGTATAGGAGGAGGGTCTCAAGATTTGTCCAAGGGAAGGAGGGAGGAAAAGACGGAGAGAAAAGGAACAGGGGAAGAAAGGAGGGTTGAATATGTAAAATTCAAGGCAGAAACTGCCCCATGGGGTCCCAGCAGCCTCTGTCCCCACCCAGCCTTTCTGAATGAATGCATCGCCTGCAGAACCAGAAGATCCGGCCTCACAGGGGGAGGAGGGACCCAGATCCCTGTAGGGCGGTAGCAAAGCCTTCCTTACCATCGTGTTTTCATCCTTAAAGAGCGTCTCTCCTCTGGCTTTAGCAAGCAGCTCCCCAGGGCAGTCCAGCTGGTGCTCAGACACAAACTCAAACAGGCTGTTCTTCCTGGAAGTGAAGAGGATGACAGACAGGGCCCGGGGGTCGGGTTAAGAGCCTGGGTTTGGAATCAGGCAGATCGGGGCTGGAGGACTGACTTGCCGTGCTACCGGTGGGACCTTGGGAAACTGCTTTAGCCTCTCTGGGCCTCAGCATTCTCACGCGTAAGATGGAAAACTAGTAAAGTACGGACAGTTCTGTTCTAGCAAGGTACCCGATAGGAGAAACCCTTAATGCATGGGAGCTTCCCAGGTCCCAAGGTACCCTTAGGACCCTGGGACTCCGTCTCTCCCAGCAGGTCCCTGCACTGTGAAAGCCCCAACCAAGTGGAGCTTCTCTGCAGAAACCAATCCAGGCCACGTCCCGCCCGGCCACCCCGCCAGGCCATGGCATTAAGAGGTGCCACGTACCACACGATGACCAGCTGGAGGAAGTGCAGCAGTTTCTTCTCGCCCTTGCAGGTGGCACAGGTCTTGTTCCCCCTCCCTGAGCATGTGCTGCATCTGAGAGGGGCCCCATCGGTACCACTTAGATGGCCGTGGTGTCCCAGTGGCTCCGGAGGCCCCTGCCTCACATCCTTCCTCATAGAGGTGGACTGTGGTGGGCACGGATTGCTTCCACATGCCCACCATCTAGACCTCCCGCTCCTCGTAGCAGTGCCCCAATCTCCCTTTGGAGACATGGTTTGTGGGCTTGCCCCCATCCCTTCTATGACCAGCTTGGGCCCTCAGGCTGGCCAATCAGAGCATTTCATCTCTCTGGCCATAGTGGCTGACACAGAGATTGACACATGACCCAGGCGAGTGCATTGAGATCCACCCCAGAACTTTTGCTGGAACTATCAGGAAAGGGCCATCCTTTTCCACTGAGGTCACCAAGCTTGGAGCTGCTGGTGGCCTCCTCTGCCACCACAGGAGACAGCCTGCCTGAGGATGAAGCCAACATGAAGGAAAGCAGAGTGAGGGACAGAGACAGATTCCTGGTGACATTGTTTAAGCACCTGGATCCAGCTGTACCTGAAGTCATCCCAGAAATCTATTCCTCGACTTTTCCAGTACATGGGCCTATAAATTTACTCTTTTGCTAAAGCCAGTTTGAACTGGAGTTCTTTTACTTGTAAGTGAAAGAAATCTAAGTTTCTTTCCAAATCAAAGAGCTCCTTTACCAACCACAGGTGGCAGGTCCACCAAAGCTTCGCCATCTGGCTTGTTAGAAGGATGGCCTGGGCCTGGATGAGCCACAGGTATCATTAACCCAACACAACTTTGAAGAGTTTCACTCCTCATGGTTTCTTGTTTCCCTTTAAAGATTTATAAATACATGAAAGGACGTCAAGTCCAAAAGGCAGCAACCCACTGTTTGCAAAGCCCTGTGAACAGGCGCTTTGTTTAGTCAGTCAACCAACCTTCCTTCACTCTTCCTCCATTTGGTCCCTGCAATGGGTTATAAATAAGGGTTTCCTCGGGCCCGGATCCTCAGAGAGATAAGAATCTCACCTTGGGTGCTCTTCTGCATTCACTTCCCCTCCACGTGAGCACGAAGCAGTCTCCTCTCTTAACCCAAGCCCTCCCTTCCTCCCTGCAGACCCTCGTACCTCCCCCCCGCCCCCGACCCACAGATTGCTTGATGGGCTCCACTTGGTCTCGAGAAACACTCACGGAGGTGACAGGGCACCTACAATGCACAGAGCTCTGGGGACACAGGGGTGACAAGACAGTGCACCCGCTTGCCTTCCTGAGGGCAGGCAGTACAAAGCAAGAACGCCAGTGAGAGCACTGAGCTCGGGGCCGGGGAGCCCCATCTTACCTCTGCCTGCCGCACCCCGAGCACATCTGACACCGCCGGGCGGGCCTGGCTCTGCGCTTGGCCCCGCTGCACGAGGGGCACCGCACCTGCAGACACACGTGGCCTCAGCCCTCACCCGCCTCCCGGGGAGCAGGCAAAGGGCATCCTGAGACCTGGCTCCAAGCCAGCCTGTGACCTTCCCCAAGCTGTCACTTCCCTACTTGCTCTCCCTGGGCCTCGCCCCTTGTCTGTTAACTGCAGTGTATCTTTGGACCCCTCCAGTTGTACCTTCAGAGACTCTGCATCCTCACAGCCCTGTTTCTCCTGAGACCTCAGCCTCTCCTGCTCTTCTCTGATCCCCATGACCCTTGGGACTGTCCCCTGACCAAACAGTCACAGCCAGGACCGGGGGAGAGGGGCAGACTGGCCCTCTCTGGTGCTGGAGAAGCCCCCGGAGATGGACCAGGCTATGCCCTCACAGCAGGCTTGGGGTGCGGTCCGGACACATTTCAGGGAAAGCCTGAGGGACAAGGGGGTAGGAGGAGGAGGGGCGGGAGGGAGCAGCAAAGGCCACCAGCAAAGGCCACCGGAGGACACAGAGCAGGTGCAGCCGCCGTGGAGCCCCACGGTGGGTGCGGAGCAGGTAGAGGGACGAGCACGCAGCAGGTGGAAGGCGGGTGCAAGGGCGCGTGGGCAGAGAGAGGACAGAGGAGGCCGGTTTACTGCGGCAAGTGGTCAGTGTGTGTCCAAGGGGTTAGGCACAAACGGGGAGGTGGGGAGAGCTGAGAACACGCGAGGGCCGTGGACTTACCGCTGGGAAGGCTAGTAGCCTAGAGGATCCTGCAAAGAACGCTGAGGCCACGAGGGCCTGGCTGGTGCTGAGGGGCCCGCGCGGGGCTGAATAGTATACGTGGTCGTCCCCGCCCGGATTTACATCTACCAGAACCTCAGAATGTGACCTTATTTGGAATTCACCTTTGCAGATGTAATTAGTAAAGGTGAGGTCATACTGCAGAAGGGAGGGCCCTACATCCAATGACTCGTGTCCCTATGGGAAGCCCGTGAGGAGACAGAGACACACACAGAGAAGCCAGGAAGCAACATGGAGGCAGAGATGGGGGTGAGGCAGCTATAAGCCAAGGACTGCCAGCCGCTGCCAGAAGCCGGGAGGAAGGCATGAGATGGCTCTTAACCCTGCTGACACCTTGGTATTGGACATCCAGCCTCCAGAACTCTTAGGGGAATAAATTTGTTGCTTTAAGCCACCCAGTCTGTGGTCATTTATTACGGCAGCCCCAGGAAGCTAATCCAAGGCCCGAGTCTATTGTGTCCCTCAAAGGCCCTAAACTTCACTTCTCGGCTGGCACCGGCCCCTGCACTACAAGTGCTGGTCACTTGCCAGTCTGTCCCTCGGACAGAGGGTCCCTGTGAGAAGGACCCCAGGTCTCAGTTCTCCTGCACCCAGCAGGTACTCAATAAATGTTTGTAGGTGGAGGAGAAAAGGAGAGAAGAATGAAAATCATAAACCATCAAAGTGAAATAAGGTCAATAGAGACCACCCACGCCAACATTCCCATTTTACAGGTAGGAAGATGGAGGCTCGGAGAGGGAGGATGACTTGTCGGAGGGCCCACTGTTGGCGCAGGGAGCCCCAGGCTGCCGGCCCAGCCCTCCATCCCCACATGGCCCTGCTCCACATCACGTACTCACCAACGGCCACATGTGACTCACCGTGCCGGCCCCGTGGCAGCTGCTGCACTTGTAGCACCCATGCCCGTGGCACTTGTAGCATTCCTGAGAGTGAACACTCTCTTTGATCTGGTTTTCCAAGTACCAGCAGCTCCTGATTTCACCAACCCCACCCCCGTGACGTCAGCATCCCACGTGGAGGTACAACAGTTCAGGCCATGGTGGGAAGATGACCATTTGTGACTAGGCTTCCAAAGGGCCTTGAACATCAAGCCAAGGAGATCCCACTACCATCTCCTCGGAACCTCAGCCCAGTCGGTCCTGGATGCTAAGACGGGGAGACCAGGTCTCCGACTCCCATGTCCTAACTCACACTCCCAGGCTAAACCACAAAAGCCAGTATCCTTTGCCCATTAGGTGGCTAAAGTGGTCTTTGGGAATAGAAGCCATAAAAAAAACAGAGGGTGTTTTTGCAAAAGGCAGCAAGCTAGCTACTGGAATTCAATGGCTGAATCAAAAGAGCTTTTCCACCCTGGAGAACAGAATGAAACACTTTCTTGATCTCTCAAAGTCCTCTTCGTCTTATGATGCTATGAAAACTCAGAGGGTAAAATGACACGCTTGAATCAAATTCTAAAGTGGAAACAAGGCAGTTAATTAGATGAGCACATAACATAAAACATCTCGGCCGTGGTTCTGTAACACATTAGGTTACCCTCACTACCTGTCCTGATTATATTTCTGTAAAACAGCGTGGATGTCAAATTCTACTCCCCTAATGACTTCCATAAAAAAAAAATCCCAGTGATGCCTTTGATTTTATTTTATATGTTTCATTCAGCTGTTTCCCAACAAGTCAAAAAAAATAAAAAAGACAAAAACCCTCAGATGGTCTAGGAATATGCATGCTCACTATGTAAAGCTGGTGACAATTTCGTACCATCCTGTTGCTGTGTGAACGCTCCCTAAATTTGCGCGGAATTTCGTATGGGACTACATCCCATACGCTGGGTTTTCTTAGAATTCTGCTGATTTGATGGGCAAGGAATAAACCACCAGCCCGGATTTTGGGTTTCCTTTTTAAAAGGATAAAGTTTGAAGAAACTACAATGCCCGGAAAACCAGCTCCGAAAGAAGGGCAGAGACTCCAATGAACACATTACCTTGACCAATGATGAGTGAGGGACTTGGAACTTCCTGGTATCTTCCTGAAACATCGGGGGAACCTGGACCTTGATGTCCCAAAGCCTGGGGGAGGTCCCTCTTTGTGGCCCATCCACGGAGTGGTCTGACAGAGAAAGGGGCTGTTCAAAGAGCAGCAAACGGCTGCAAGGACCAGCCTTCATTTATTCACCAAATAGTACGGAGCCTTCACCTGGTGCCAGGCGTTAAGCTAGAACCTGGGGCCGAGGGACCGGTAGGTAAGGGTCCCCTTAGAGCCTGTGGTTAAGCAGCCAAGCGTCGCGAGTTGAACAGACCCGGCTGACTCCTGCTTCTTGTACTTCCGGGCTGCGGAACTCGACACCAGCTCCTCCACCTATACATACCTCTCTGCCCTGCAGTCCCGTCCTCTCTAACCAGGGATAATGGTGGCACCTACCATGGAGAACGGTAGTAAAGCTGAACAGCAGAAGGCATACCAAAGCTTAGCCCAGGGCTGGTACATGCCGAGGGATCAGTAAACCAGGATTGTCATCACTACCGTCACCATCCCCACCATCTTCTTTCTCCTCCTCCGTTCAAGGAGAGAGACTACATCACAACACAACAGAATATGACATGGTAAGTGCTTTGCACAAGAGCCGCATAAGGCGCTCTGAAAACTCAGAAGACTGACTCATTCTGCTGGGGAGGGGACAGCAGGGAAGAAATCTCAAAGGCTTCCTAAAAGAGGGGACCCTTGAGCTAAGTCTCGAGGGAGGAACCAGAAAACAGGTAGGGTACAGAGCTTCCCACAAAGAGAGCCTTAAGCCTCTAGGGGGTCCAGCAGAGGTGGCATAGCACACTGAATGGGGTGGGGATCTAGAGACTCGGGGAGGCGCTGGGGGTGGCCCAGGAGGCAGGTAGACGCCCGAGCACAGTGGCTGCCTTTGCAGTCTGGCCCCGTGTGGCAGCACCAGCCTGTGGCCAAACGCAAACACTAGACTTTTGCAGGACCTCCTGCGAGCCACTTCCCGGACAGGAAGCATCTGCTAACATCAGCCCTGGAAGGTCTCCAGGAGGAAAGGCCACCCTCTCTTTTTATGGGGGATGGGAAACTGAGGCTCCGAGCAGCAGAGCATCTTCCTCGGGGTTGGTGGCTAAGCCTAGTCCTGACATTCTCCACCAACCCCTGCCATATTCGCTCCGAATTAAACTGATTTCAGACAACTCACTTACTGGTAAAGGGCTGAAAAGTCCATTCACTTATCCTGGATTCACTGAAGGTTTCTAGTCGATACTACAAAGGAAAAACAGTGTGCTCACACTCGTGCCCTTAGGAAGACAGAGCCTCATGCGAAAGGACGAAGCTCCCCAGCCCTGGGCCCAGCAGGGAGAACAGAAGTTCCCAAGCACAGACAGCGCCCGAGGGCTGCTCAGAACAGGCTGGCAGCAGCGAGGACTCGTGTCGCAGATGCCCTGGGACATATCTGCAGGGAGTCATTCAGCCCCAGGAAATCTCCCCTGACAGACACACCACAGGGCACCTTCAGTATGATGTGTATAATTTCTTTATACACAGAAATGGTCTATGAGGCAAGTTTTGAAGCAAAAATTGCCCTCTGACAGATGGAGGCTGCTGGAATCAGCCACTCCGAGCACCCCCGGGGGAATGTATCTGCCTGAGGTCGAGATCCTCCTTCTTGATCCTCATCCACGGGATCTCGGACATCGCCTGGCTCCTCCTTTTCCATGTGAGGAAAGGGATGCTCAAAGAAGTCAGGTGACTTTCCCAAGGTCACACAGCTACACAGAGACCTCGTACCTCAAATACCTGCTCTGACCACTCCCTGCGAGGCTGCTTTCTGTGACTGTGTGCCCTCCAGGGGACGGCTATGCCAGTGACACTAGGAAACGTGAACTTAAACTTGTCCCTGTCAAGGCAGAAGGTGACAAAGGTGGGGTCACCTTGTGTGGTCTTGGTACCAAGCACAGGACCTCCCTGGAGCCTCAGGCTTGGGGGTGATGAATAAATACCCCTGGCACAGATGAAACTTGGGGGAGGCAGAGGAAGCTGGGATCAGGGGAGGAGACGGCCCTTTCTAGCCCACCCCTCCAAGAAGCAGGTAAGCTGTGTCTTTAAAACAGGGCTTTGGTGCCAGCAAACCTGTGTTTGAATCCCAGCTCGGTCACTTCTAGCTGCATGTTTGGGGGCAAGTAACTCCACCTCTCTAAATGTCCAGTTCCTCCTAACTGGTGACGATGATACCTACCATGCAGGGTAGCTATGAGGATTCGGTAAGACATATAGGTAAATGCGCTATCCATGACGCTTAGGGCATTCGAGCTGTCCTCTGGTGATTGACAACCATGATTCCTTGTATTATAACTCACTACAATGTCACCGCTATTCACACACACCGTTCCCCAAGACTCCTTTCTCCCCGGCCTCGCCAGGCGCCCTCCGGCCAGCCCTCACCCTGCGCAGGACCTGCTGCTTCAGCTCCAGGATGACGAGGTCACCGGCGGCCGCACTGCCGTAGCAGCACTTGGAGTCCACGAAGCTGAGGAGGGCTTCCCGGGCCACCTCCTCTGTCACCACGGGGACTCTGGTGGGGACCGAGCAGCGGGGTGGTGGGTCTGGGGAGAGCCTGCGGGCTCATCCAGGCCAGCCAGCCCCCTCACTGTGCAGATGGAAACTAAGGCCCGGAGACAGGGGTCCCCCGGCCGTGTCCACAGCAGTGGTAGAGCCCTCGGGCTTCCAGCTGGTGAGGGCATCTCCGGCATCAGGAACTGTGTGAACAGATGCCCAGTGGGAAAGTGGCAGGTCCTTCTAGAGGATATCAGAACCAGTTTAACTGAGGTCTGGAGCTGCGGAGAAGGGCTGATGGGGGCTTAGAACTCAAATGAAAAACCAAAAACAGAAACAAAAACTGGAAGATGAATTATGCCACTTTACAGAAAAGGAAAACTGAGGTCCAGAGAAGATGTCACACGGCTAGAAGGAGGCAGAGCTAGAACTGGACGAGGTTCCTGCCCTCTGGCACCTTGACTTCAGCCAGAGGAGTTGTGAGTAACGCTCAGGGGAAGACCCCAGCCGAGAACCTTCTGACAGTGGCGCCCACAGAGACCCGCCGTGAGCCCACTGCACAGCAGCGGTGCAGGCTGGGAGGGCAGACTACGAAGGACGCTTCGTCGGCCCCCTCTCGGGGCACCTCTCCCTCCTGGAAGACTCCCCTGAGGCCCAACCGCCCTGTCCCCCCCTCGGCAAGGCCCTCCCGCCACTGCCATGAGCAGAGGCCCCTTCCTCCGCCCTGCCCCCCATCTTCACAGTCTTCCCCGCCGCAGCCTGCCTCCAAATGTAAGCCCTCACCAACGCACGCCGTGCCGCCGACACCCCCGGCCCAGCGCAGAGGGGCCCGTGTGCCCACAGACAGTGCACAGCGCACGGAGGGCGCGGGCGCAGCAGTGGCCGGGACGACTCCACGGAAGAAGGGGCGTCTGCAGGCTCGCAGGGCGGGCGGCCCGCGAGGAGAAGGGAGGCGGGGCCAGAGCACCAGGAAGGCACCGTCGACGGCAGGGCGCGGCCACCCTGGACCCAGAACGGGCACGGCTCCTCCTCCTGTCCGCACAAAGCTGGCCGGACAGCCCGAGCTCTGCCCCGAGCCCTCCAAGCAAGCGGACTTTCGGTAAAGGGCGAGATAGGAAATACTTTAGGCTTTGTGGGCCACGTGGCCTCTGTGTCACCACTCAGCTCCTCTGTCACGGTGTAAAAGCAGCCACAGACAGTAAGGAAACAAAAACACATGGCCGTGTGCCAATAAAACCTGATAGACAGAAAGAGGCAGTGAGCTGGATCTGGCCCGGGGGGCGTAGTTTGCAACCCCTGATCTAGACTAGAGTTTTCAGCCCTGGCTTGGTAGCCAAACAACCTGAAGGGCTTGGAAAAATACACACTCCCAGGCTCCATCCCTGGAGACCCTGATCCGCTGGGTCTGGAGTCCTGATGCACTGTCTGGGGTGAAATCTGTGGCCCCTGAGATCCCCGAGGAGGGCTGTCGGGGGACAAAGGTGACCTGAGGATCATCTCGCGTGATCCTGCACAATGGCTCCGTGGGGGCTGCCAGGGCTCACCTGTGTTCCAGAAACGAAGACCAGCACCTTTGTTCCTGGGGCCTCCCCGGGGCCTCCGAAGGTGGGAAGAATACCTGGCATCCTGGAGGAGACGGGGGTGGGGGGTGGGGGGGTGGAGCTCAAATCTTTGGGAGACTTCTCCAGGATAAAATGACAAATTGATAAGAACAATCCCAATTAAACCTTGTTGAAATTAATAAATGTTCTTATCCTGTTTCCCATTATCTTTGTTAATAGGACTAATGATCCTATTAATAACCACAGCTAACATCTATGAGCACTAGGCTACAGTATTTACATATATTATCTCCTTCAATTCTTACAATCCTATGAAAAAGTTACTGGTTTTATCATCTTATATGGGCGGGAGTCAGGGCTCGACAGCCCGGCTCCAAGGCACAGGTATTTGTGGGACAAAAGGAGAAAAGATGGGCCGAATGTGAGAAAGGACAGACGAAGAATGAGGGTTCCAAGACCGGCAGCATCCTGGTCTAGGTGGAGATGGACGTGGTCACGGAATGTCCACGGACACAGGGCCTATGCCCCGTCCTCCCATTCCCTCCCAATAGCGACAAGGGGCTTCCCAGGGCCCCCAGGGGACAGGGGAGCTCTCCCAGCCCGGCCTGTTCCAGAGGTGCCCCCACAATAGCATAAGCCCCGGGAAGAGGCTGCGGGACCCAAGCCCCCAGGGACACAGACTCACTGTCCCCTTGAAGAAGCCAGTCACAGCTGGGCAGCCTCTCCAGGAGTTCAGCCGGGGGCGCCAGAGGACTCTCGGCCTCGAAGCTGAGGTCCATCACACCTGGGGAAGAACGGGCAGTGCCGAGCCTCGGGGAGGAGGGGGTCGAAGGCGACTCCTGTCAGCTATCTGACAGGTGAGGGCAGGTGCACCGTAAAGAGGCTCACGGTTTCAGTCAGTCTCACTCCGGCCCCCTCACGACACACAACATATTTGTAGGGTGGCCAGCAATGGGGTTGGGGGTATGACAGTAGCAGCAGTAATAATAATGATGAGACAAACATTCGGAAGGGCAGCTCCTATCTGCTGGGCACCTACTCTGTGCCAGTCAGCGGGACAGGTGCTTTATAAACAGTATCATATTCCCCAGCCCTAGGAGACAGACACTGAATAACAGATGGGCACACTTCTTTGCTGCTCCTCTCATCAACAGACAGGTCTCCGTTTCCTCCCCTCGAACCTGGGCAGGCTTGTGACCGCTTCACCAAGTGAACGCAGCAAGCAGAGAAGACACCGCAGCTCCTACTTCTGGCCTCCTGAAGCCGTCCCTCTTGATGCCTGAGCTACCAGGTAAGACATTAGACTATCCCACTGGAGAGGCCATGAGCAAATACCCTGAGACTACGCGGGGAGGGGCCCAGTGGAGCCTGGCCTTCCAGCCACCCTGCCAAGCCACCAGGAATATGAGCAAAGCCATCCTGGACCCTCCAGTCCAGAGCAGCTGCCTGCTGAATACACTGAGGGACCCTTTCATGGACTGCATGTCTGCATCCCCCAAATTCATATGTTGAAACCCACAGCCCCAGTAGAGCTGGGATTTGGGGTTGTTTTTTTTTAACACATTAAAAAAATATATGTATTTATTTATTTGTTTGTTTCTGGCTGTGTTGGGTCTTCGTTGCTGCACTTGGGCTTTCTCTAGTTGTGGCGAGCGGGGGCTACTCTTTGTTGCGGTGCGCGGGCTTCTCATTGCGGCGGCTCCTCTTGTTGCGGAGCACGGGCTCTAGGTGCGTGGGCTTCAGCAGTTGTGGCACGCAGGCTCAGAGGTTGTGGCTCGCGGGCTCTAGAGTGCAGGCTCAGTAGTTGTGGCGCACGGGCTTAGTTGCTCCGTGGCATATGAGATCTTCCCGGATCAGGGCTCGAACCCGTGTCCCCTGCAATGGCAGGCGGATTCTTAACCCCTGCACCACCAGCGAAGCCCTTGGGAGAGGATTAGGTTTAAATGAGGTCTTAAGGATGGAGCCCATGATAGGATCAAGGTCCTTATAAGAAGAGAAAGAGGCTAGGGCTCTCTCGCCCTCTCTACTATGTGAGCACCCAGTGAGAAGGCGGCTGTCTACAAGCCAGAAGCGGGCCCTCACCAGATGCCGGGTCTGCTGACGCCTTGACCTTGGATTTCCCAGCCTCCAGAACTGTAAGAAATAAATGCTTGTTGTTTAAGCCAACCCAGTCTACAGTATTTTTGTTACAGAAGCTTGAACCAACACAGACCCTAATCAGTTACACACGGAGCACCCACCTGAGCCCTGTTGAAATTTCTGACCCATAAAATCATGATTTATATTAAAGTGGTTGTTGTTTTAAGGCACTGGGATGTGGGACAGTAGGTCATGCAGCTTCCTCCATCGGGCAGTCTTTACTCTGAGACTCCCCACAGACCCACACAAGACTTTCTTGGAGCCACAGCAGGGTCTCGGGCTCCCCTGCCGCCCTCTCTCCTCTCACAGGTGTCTGACCTACACTGTGGTCCAAAGACGGTCCCTGCCTACGCCTGCCCCTTCTCCCCCTTTCCCTTCACAGGTCTCCAAGGGACGTCTGGCATGTCTCAGGCCATCTTGGTGTCTGCTTCTCGGATGACCCAAACTGACACACCAGCACAACCACATTCTACCGCTGTGACTCGCCCAAGATCGCCCAGCCAGTGAGTGGTAGAGTTGGATCCAAACCAAGGTTCTTCTCTCTCCAAAGCTGGTATATTCTTTTCCAAGTACTTTTTACAAGGCAAACCCTACGGAAGAAGCACTGATTATACGACTGTTTTTAAAACCTCGTCTTGATCTGTGAGGCTGTGACATCTATACGTAGGGACTGAGACTCCAAGTAGGAAAGCATATACTACTAGAACTGGCTCCTGGAAACTCAGGACTACTCACGAAGCACCTCCCACACCTGGTGCCTCACCCCACCATCCCACCTAGAGGTGTGGAAGGCAGGGCGTCTAACTCCACTTGACACGAGGAGTCTGAGCCTCAGAGAGATTACTCCGGTACTCCTAGGGTGCCCAGCGCTGGACTTAGAGCAGGCCAGAGGCTCCTTGCTCCAGTTCCAGCCCAGTGGGCCACCTGTCAAACCTGCTCCGTGAAGTCCCCAGGCTGGGGGACAAGGATCCCTCAACTGTGTCTTTCTAGTGGCCAGTTGACCATAGGAAGTTGACTTTAAAGGGCGAGCTGATAAACGGTCAGTGGAAGGGGATTCTCTCTGCATTAAGTCACTGAAGGCCACTTGGGTCAAACTTCCAGCTGATCGACCTCGTCTCCGAGATCCTCCTCTTTTCTGCAGCTCTCTAAAACCTATAGCCCTTTATCACTACAAAAAATAAAGATATTATGTCCTGTTCCTTAGAGTGTAATAAAAGCAGAGGCCAGAAAAATAAGCAGATCTTGTTCAGAACCGACACAGCTTAGGTTATCTGGAAGTAGAGACAAGGCGTTGGATGGTGAAAGAAGCCTGAGATTCTGGCATTCGTGGCCGAGAACAGTGAGGGAGGAGGCGGTGTCATTAAAACAAATAAACAGCCCTGCTCTACCACCCCTCCCCCATTAGGGGTGCCCTTGTCCTCTGATAATAAGCACTACATATGCATCTCTAAGGTTCTGTCTCCTTGCAGGAAACTTCCAAAGGAAGCTGAAATACAAGAACGTTTGTGGATATAGAGAGTACCTTTCTTAGCAGGAAAGCTTATCTTTGTAAGCAAATGACTCTGCCAAGAAGCAGGTGAGAGGCCTGCGACGCATGCGAGTGCGATGTAAAGTGACATCATCCCAAAGCTGCAAACGCCTGCCAATGTGTCCTGAAATCCCCAGGATGAGGCTTCCCCTGGAATTATTCTTCGAACCTTGGTTCTCAATATTGTTTCGCTTCTAACAAGTTTATTAGCATTCTCTGCTACTCCAGCCACCAGGGACCCAGGGATCAGCAAACATTTTCTACAAATAGCCAGGTGGTAAATAGTTCAGACTATGGGCTGTACAGTCTGTCTTAGTTACTCACCTCGGCCGTAGTGCCCTGAAAGCAGCTATAGACAACAGACAACTGAATAAGTGTGGCTGGTTCCAATTAAACTACAAAACAGGCGGTGGGTCAGCTTTGGTCCATGAGGCGTATTTTGCCCACCCTGACCTGACACCCACCTGTGCGGGGGCGCTCTGAAGGGTATCCGGAAGGTGGCGGCTGGAATTTGAACCTGTCTGGGGCAGGGTCCATGCAGTGTCTGTGAGCGCAGTTAAAAGAATTAAAGGTGAGGGGCAGGGTTGGACTGTAGCCAGGGTGGGGATGTGGGTGACTGCACTCAGAATACCTGGGCATTGTGCTTAGGAACCCGGGCTCTGATATGCTGCCGTCTGAGCCAGGTAACACATGGCACTGTGCCAGACACTCATCCTCCCAACACTCAACTGCCCCAGCTGGGAAAGAGAGCGGGTGGTACTAGGGCCCACCTAACGAGACAATGTGTATACAGCTCTCAGCCCCGAGCCTGGCATGTTATAAATGTTCGGGCAGTGCCTTGGACCGAGGAGGGCGGGTCTTCCTCTTTCCCGGTGCTCCTTTAAGCCAGCGCACAAGAGTGAAAATGTCAAGCGTGGAAAGAAAGGCAAGGCCATCACAGCCCCCTCCCCTGGGAGGGCCCCCGCCTGCCCGGAAGTCTTGTCTCCGCTGGGGCATCAGTACTCCCCTGGACAACAAGACGCCACGTGGCTGCTCTGTCCTGCTGGAAACCAAACAACAGGGCAGGAAGACGGGAAGAATGAGAGGTGGGGCACTCAGAGCTCCATCCATCAACTGGGAGCCACAATGACCTCTGGCAACTCATCAGAGCTAAATTAACCTCCCCATTATGTTGTGGATGAAAATAAAGGCCTCCAGGCTGAAGCACGGGCAGACACGTCATTTCCTGGGCAGATCTCAGCGGGCACAACAGGAATGCGGACGTCACGGGACATTGTGTGGCGCCCAGCGTGGGGTGCTCCGATGGGGGCCACCAGCCGCGTCACCGTTTCCACAGTGTTGGGCTGAGCTCCAGGGTGGCCGTCCAGCTGGACCACTGCTCCCTAATTCACGCACTGCCTCGGTGAGGGATGCTCCATGATCTCTCTTGCACCTCATGACAACCACTATTTTCCCCATTTAGTAGAAGGACGAGATGAGGCTCAGAGATGTGATTTGAGACAGCAAGCTCGCAGGCTCATAGCAGAGACAGAAACAGTACTTAGAACTCAGAGCCTGACTCCAAGCCCCAAGTGGTTGCCGAGAGACCTTTGCAAAGTGCCACCCAGGTCGTGTTTCTGCTCACCAGAGGCCAGCTAGTTTTCTTTTGTATAGGAAGGAATTTTTCTGGTGGAGAAAGGCACAATTCGTAGATAACCCCCTTAACTTTCCCTTTTTTTTTTTTTTTTTTTTTTTTTTTTTTTTTTTTTTT